GAGGGGCAAAAATGAGCAAAAAAAGCCTGTTTTTCATGAAAACGGGCCTGTTGTTTGTCAAAAAAAAATTGCATGCATAGCCTTATGGAGGCTTATAGAGTGCTGCTGGAGGCTGGGGGGGGGGGGAAAAGCCCATTTTTATTTCATTTCTGCCCTTCCCAGCCCCCAGGAGCTCTCTGAAAGCCTTCATAAGGCTATCCATGGCCATTTTGGTGAAGAGGGCGGGGCTTTGATAGGCAAAAAAATGCTGTATTCGATGTATAAGACGCAGCCAGATTTTCAGCCTCTTTTTTGAGGAAAAAAGGTGCGTCTTATACTCTGAAAAATACAGTACATCTACATGGAGGGAAGTAACAGTGGGGTACCCCAACATTCTGTTTTAGGTTCAATGCTCTTCAATATCTTCATAAAGAATTTAGATGAAGGAATAGAAGGGGAAGTAATCAAATTTCCAGACAACACTAAGCTGGCAAGTACTGCCAATATCCAGGAAGATAGGTCCATGATCTAGATGGATCTTGACAGACTTGAATACTGGGCCCTATCTAACAAAATGAAATTGAATGGAAAGAAAGAAAAACCAAATGTACAGATAATATATTAGGTGAAATCTGGCTCAATAGCGTGAGAGAGATCTTGGAGTCCTTGTGGATTATGACTTAAATAAGGGCAAGTAGGATGCTGCAGAAGTCAAAAAAGTCAATGCAATCCTAGACTGCATTAATAGAGGGATAGAATCAAGATCACATGAAGTATTAGGACTGCTTTATAATTACCTAATATGACCACATTTGGAATATTGCATCTAGTTTGGTAACTGAATTATAAAAAAGATGTCGACACTCTGGAAAGACTGCAGAGAAGAGCAGCAAAGATGATTAGGAATCTTGAGATTAAAATGTATGAAGAAGACATTTTGTCCTATTAGCACAAAAATGAGTAGCAGGGAAAGGACGCTACCAGTCTTCCCTTCTGAACTTTTTGTATTTTGCTACAGCAAAATGCCGAACTTCAGCCAAACGCCAAGTAGAAAGAAAAACAAAACAAAAACAAAATTTTAATCTCAACTTCCCTTACGCAAACTGAAGTTGAAGGTGAATTCTGCTTCTTGCCAGGGTGGGAGTCTTGGGTAGAAAAAATAGAGAGATTTGATTGTTGTGTGAATTTCAGAACAGAATAATAAAACATGACCCATTGATTTGACTGATCCATTGCTCACTGCTCTTCTGAGCCCATTCAGTTGCTTTCCTAATGTCACATGTCGTGCTAGAGTTTGAGAGATACACTTTCCCTCCCACCTGGAATGGTTTGTGAGGGGCCTACGTTTTGTCTGCTTCGGCTTTGTACACCTCGGCAGCTTTCATTAGTGCTGTTTTTATAGTGCTTCTTACACCTAGTCTGGTACCCCTCCACTCACTGGGCCGGCAAGGGGAGAGCAGTGCCTGTGGGTACTTGGGAATAGAGATGAAGTCTAACCCATTGACCACTCGGAATGGGGTGAATCCAGTGCTACTATGCATTGCGTTGTTGTATGCCACCTCCGCAAACGGCGGAAGAGCTGCCCAACTGGTCTGCAACAGGGGTGGGTTTCAACTGGTTCGTGGCAGTCCCCGTGGCCCACCCGCCCACATGCGCTCCTTACCGGTCTTTGAAGGCTTCTGCGCTTCCATGCAGGCATATGGCACATACAGCGTCTGCGCAATTCTCCGCGAGCAGCTGGATGGCACATACAGCGCCTGCGCGAGTCTCCGTGAGCAGCTGGAGCATCGCGCAGGCGCTAAGATGCATGCGTGAACTGCGCGCATGCACGAGGAGGCCGCCGGCACCGTTCCAACCGAACCGGTTGGAACGGGATTAGAAACCCACCCCTGGTCTGCAAGTACCATAACATTTGTTCCGTCTGGGATTCCATCATTAGAAGGTTGTATTTGGGCAGTGCCTTGGCCTGCTTGTGAATCAGGTCACAGTGCTTCCCTTTACCTTCAGTTCCAAGGACTGATAGTTGTAGACCAAATTTATAGGGGTGGGTCAATGTTTGTTGCAGAAATAATAGCTTAACCAAAATGTAGAGATAAACTGTGTCTTCTATTCCAGCTGGGTTATATGTGACTCATCACAAAAAGCAAAGATAGATACCCCGAGTTTCCTCAAATTTCTAGATTAAATGGCATCATGGGTAAAACCTGATGCCATGCAGTGACTGAACATGACAACATGATTTACAAAATTTACTAGTGGGAGTGGGTAGAGGAAAGTAAACTCATCTAAAGAGACTTGGCTTGGTAAAAGTACTTGTGAAAAAATATTTTGAAATAGCAATTAATTGCAAATTTAGTATGAGCTAATTAGAATAGAAATAGGATAACACTTCAAAACTAATTCAGAGATTCTGAAAAAGATTCAGAGAAGATGACCAATACCATGTTTCCCTAAAAATAAGACAGAGCCTTATTTTCTTTTGACACCTGAAATAAACGCTTGGCCTTATTTTCGGGGAGGTCTTATTACTTTTGAGCTGCAGGAGGCGGCGAGCGTGGTCACCTCATGGCTGCTGCTATGTGGCACTGCTGCAACACAGCCGCTCGTCAGCTGGATGCTTTTCAATCAAAGCACAACTCAGCTGCAGGAGTAAATGGTGGTAGGGAAGGAGTGGGGCGCATGGCACGTCGCTTGACCTGCCACGCTTGTTGCGGTGGCCATTAGTGTGACAAAACTGACGTGGTGGCTAGGGTTGTGGCAGCAGCCATTAGGTATGGGAGTATGGGGTGCATGGGACATGTTCCCCTCCATTCCCTCCCCCTAGGCCTCGCCTCCTCACCACGCGACAAGCAACCAGAGTAAATGGGGGGACCGGCTGGGCATGCGTTTAAATATTTTCGGGAGGGCTTATTTTGGGGGAAACAGGACGTAATAAAAAAGGTTGAAGGAGCTGGGATATAGATGACTGGGGAGGCTATGTTGCTGTATTTCAAACACAGAAAGGCAGGTTCCTTCTTGTTCAGAGTATAAGACACAATACATGACCTGTGTTACAGGAAAGCAGATTCTAATAGTGTACTATGTGAGAAAAATAACCCTTCCTAATGGTTTGACAATGGAATTTATTACACAGGAGATAGTTGAGTTACCATTCATTTGATAGGTGCAATTAGGGGCTAGGCAGCCCTCTGTTGGAATACTTTCATTTCATACTCTGTTGGACATTTAGATAATCTAAATAGTGACGTTTCACGTCAGGGTTCTCTGAACCCAAACTTATATCTACTGATACTTAACATGTGTTTGAAGTGCTGAGAAAGATCCTATGTGGGTTGTGAGCAAATTATCATCTATACACTAAGTTGGCTATACTTTTTTTTCCTGCAAAGATTCAGAGTTGTCTGTCTCAGAGACTGTTGTATGTGTCTTTGGGCTGTAAAATATTGGATTGTCAGAGGAAGCTGAAATTTAATTCATACTTGAGAATAGAATAGAATAACAGAGTTGGATGGGACCTTGGAGGTCTTTTAATCCAACCCCCTGCCTAGGCAGGAAACCCTACACCACTTCAGACAAATGGTTATCCA